ATATTTGTATATATATATATATATATATATATATATATTATATATATATATATATATATATACCAAACTTATTAAAATTTTATGAGCCACAATAATCCCTGCACTGCAGTATATATTACGTACTGGACGTCAACTAAATTTTTCTACAGCCAAACTATTAACCATTCGTGTCGCTTATACTTAATCCGTTATTTCGTTCAATTGGCGGTGGCATTCGGTGTTGTGTGTATACGCTGCCGACATGTTGATTGTAGAACTGTGCCATAAAGCCTGCCTGATCCAGCAAGACGCCACCGTCGCAAGTATATCGTGCTTTTGATGCTCTGATCTCAAAACCAAATACGTGAAATAATTTCAGTATTAGTGCAAGCTCGTGTTATAAGCTTAAACTGTCGACGGGATACGAAATCCGTAATTAAAGTTTTACATTTCCTCCAACTCCTGATCGTTAAGTTAAACACGATTTCAAAATAATTCTCAAGCGAATTTATTACGAAGTTACTTGATGAACCTCTGCACGCTGGTCTGACTGCATCGGCATGCTTGAGGTGCGAAGGCGCGCAAGAAGTGTATATGTGGATAACCGGCATCACGTGTCTTACGTTGAAACTACTATATAAACACTATATCGAAACAAGTTTCACGAGTTAAGCTCGTGTGCAAATAAATCGGTGAGCAAATCCAGGACTGAGTCAGCCTTGTTCCTTTACCCCTTCCTTCCGTGTGAAAGCCAGCCAGCAATGGGACCCCGTGCACGAGCTGTCCATTCATTTTATAGTCGGCATGCACGCCTGCACCCGTTGAAATTCGTTTCAACAAACCGTGTACAACATCCGTCGTGCAAGCCCGTGCAGGTGACAACATCGATGTGTGTATGCACGCGCGCGTAGATGCGTGCGTGCGTGCGCGTGTGTATGCGTGTATGCGTGCGTGCGTGCGTGCGTGTGTACTAACTATCGGCGTGCGAGATCAAAAGAGGTAGTAGAAAATGACAACTTACACTCACCTAACGAAGGACATCCGTCAAGATCTGGGGCGGGACTCTTCCGTTTCCGCGGGCGTCCCTTCTGCACGGCGCCGACGCCATTGTAGAAGGGCAGCGAGCCGGGCGGCAGGCCGTGCGGCAGTCCGGGCGGCAGGCCGGGCGAGCCATGCATGTGCGGCGGCAGGTAGTCGCCCTGCATCATGAACTCGTAGTGCGTCCGACAGTACACCATGTTCTCCTTCATGCCGAAGTGTTCGCCGGGCGTAAGCGCCTTATTGCACGAGGCGCACGTGAAGCAGCTGAGATGGTAGACGAGCTCCTTCGCTCGCATGACGAGTTCGTTCGCAGAGATGCCCATGTGACAGCGAGAGCAGCGCTTCACCGAGAACCGCCTGCCGAAAACAACGCAAAATCCGCGTTAATATTACGTTTTGATTTTATTTTTGTTGCGCGCGACGCTTATTCGAAATCGAATCTTAATCGAGATTTAAATATTGAGTCAAGATTTCTAAAAACTGGTTGCATTTATCGGGACGACAGGGTTAGGGCTAAAGCGGGGATGGTAATGTGGTATGTAAGCTGGGTAAAATGACAGGTATATGCGAATTGACATGATATATAACACGATTCACGCAAGGCGACACAGAGAGAAGACGGGACGAAGTTCTACGTTTACTAACACGATGTGAAACTAAACAAGATCCTTTGTATTGGGTGTATAGCGCCTACCCATGCGCCCTGTTAAATTTGATATATTTTATTCTCATTCGTACGCTCGTGCGTATTATTACAATCGTGTGTCGATTAGTCTCCAACATCTTTAGTCATCGCTATTCAGCGCGTCTAATCGCTATGGAAACAGCGAGAGAACAACATGAGCTGATGTTTTTTCTCGCTGAGCCGCCGCGGCGCCCGCACCCCGGTGTCACACAGCGCCGCCGGCTTCCCTGGTCAGTAGGTGTGCGTGTGTGCGTGCATGCGTGCGTACGTGCGTGCGTGTGCGTGCGTGCGTTCGTGTGTGCGTGTGCGTGCGTTCGTATGCGTGTGCGTGCGTGCGTTCGTGCGTTCGTATGCATGTGTGTGTGTGTGCGAGCGTGCGTGCATGTATTTTTGTACATGTATGGGTGTATGAGTGCGTGTGTCTGTGTGTGCGCGCTGGTAAGTATGTATGTATGTGCATGTGCGCGTGTGTTTGTATTGGTTTATGTGTGCGTGTGTATGTATATGTACCGTACGTGTACACGCTCGCGCGTGCGCGCGTGTGTGTGTATGTTTGCCGAGTATCTATACGCGTGTTGCGGCGACTTCGCGTATTTGCGTATTTCCGGGGCAGCAGTTTTTCGGGCGCATATGCCGCCGGCTCTCCCGCCTGCCTGTCGTGCACTCTCGTCCGTTGCGTAGCGTCGGCACTGCGGCCTTCTCTCTCTCTCTCTCTCTCGCTCTCTCGCTCTCCCTCTCGCTCGCTCGCATTTGTTCAGCACAGCTTGTTTGTAGTTTCCCGTGCCCGCCGAATGTTGTTCCAAGACAGCGCGGAATTCGCGAGAGGGTAACCCGAGCCTAGAACATGTTTAAAAGTTTGCTGGCCGTTGTAGCAGCGGGCGGCGAGGCTACCGGGGAATAGATATCGGGCCCCACGCTGCGCGCCAGCGAACGCCGCGACAATTCTCCGTCGTCGTCAAATTCGTTTATGAATATTTAAAAAAGTATTCTATAGGCTGTCGGGAGGTCCGAACAGAAAGCGACAAGCGGCACCCCGCCGAGTCGGCGAGTTACGACGCGGCGTTCGTAGAGCGCGTCGCAGGTGCAGTGTTTTAGCGGTCGTCGAGGTTTAAGGTGTCGGTCTGTAAGTCGGTGACGCCGCCGGCATCAGCGCGTGCAAACATTGTGATCTAGCAGACGATCACACGCGCGCAGTCATTGTCATCTAGCTCAGAGTGATCACACGCGCCTAAGTCATTGTCCATCTTGTAGCAGACGATCACACGCCGCGCATCAGTCATCTGCATTGCGCGCCCGACGCGCAGTCATTGTCATCTTAGAGACATTCACACGCACCAGTCGCCGTCCAGTCATTGTCATCTCAGACGATGCCACTACGAGCGCGCAGTCATTGTCATCCTAGCAGACGATCACACGGCCGCATCATTGTCTATTCTAGACAGACGACTCACACGCGCAGCAAGTCATTCGTCATCTAGCAGACTATCACACGCGCGCGAGTCATTGTCATCCTAGCAGACGATCCATTTTTTTATTCGGCGCGCCAGTAACCATTGTCAATCTAGGCAGATCGCACATCCGCGCGCAGTCATTGTCATTCTAGCAACGATCACACGCGCGCAGTCATTGTCATCTAGGACACGATCATCACGCGCAGACCATTGTCATCTAGACAGTACGATGCACACGCGCAGCTCATTGTCATCTAGCAGAGATCATCACGCGCGGCGCGAGACTATTGTCTAGCTAACAAGACCGATCACACTGAGCGCGCAGACATGTCATCTAGCAGGACGATCAACACGCGCCAGGCGCAGACATTGTCCATCTAGGAAGATCACATCGCGCAGTCATTGTCATGTAGCTAGACGGTCACACGCGCAGACATCTGTCATCTAAGCAGACGATCACACCGCCGCAGTACATTCATCTACAGACGACACACACACACACTCAATGCGTCATCTAGCAGACAGATCACTACGCCTGCGCAGTCCATGTTGTCATCTATCAGACGAATCACACGCACGCAGTTCATTGTCCATGCTAGCAGACGATCAACACGCGCAGCAAGCTTGTCATCTAGGAGGAAGCGACACACCTGCGCAGTCATTGTCATCTAAGCAGACCGTATCACACGCCGCAGACCATTTGTCATACTAGGCAGACGATCACACCGCAGTACATTGTCATCTAGTCAGACGATCAAACGCGCGCAGACATTGTCAGCTAGCAATGACGATCACACGCGCAGTCATTGGTCATCAGCAAGTCTCTGCCCCCCCCGCCCCCCCCCCCCCCCCCCACCCCCCCCCGCCGCCCCCCCCTTGGGGGGGGGGGGGGGGTGGGGGGGAAAAATGGTTCGCCGAGACGCGTCCCGGTGTGGGTCTGGCTTGGAGCAGTGCCCCCTGACGCCGCGCGCCCTCGCGCCCGCCGCGGGTGTCTCCGCTTGTGGCGACGTCGCGTCGCCCCCCCAGCCGCCGCCCGCCGCCCCGCCAAACCCCCCAAAAAAAAAAAAAACGCCTGCGCAGTCATTGTCATCGTAGCAGACGATCACAGCACAGACAATTGTCAATCTAGCAGACGATCACACCCCGCGGCAGTCATTGTCATCTAGCAGACGATCACACGGGCAGCGCAGACATTGTCATGCTAGCAGATCGATCAACACTGCGCGCAGACATTGTCATCTAGCAGACATTACACGCCGCCGCAGTCATTGCATCTAGCAACGATCACACGCGCCGCGAGACATTTGTCATCTACAGACGATCAACGCACGCGCAGTCATTGTCAATCTAGCAGACGGTCACACGCGCAGGTCCATTTCATCTAGCAACGAATCACACGCGCAGACATTGTCATCTAGCAGACGATCACACGCACGCGCAGTCATTGTCCATCTAGCAGAGGGGGGCGAATTCACACGCAGCAAGAACATTATGTCATCTAGCAGACAGATCACACGCTGCGCCCAGAACATTGTCAGCTAACAGACGATCAACACGCTCTGCGCCAGACATTGTCAACTAGCAGTACGATCACACGTGCGCGCAGACATTGTCATCTTAGGATACGGATGCACACAGCCGCGCAGTTACATTGTCAATCTAGCATACGTATCACACGCCGCGCAGACATTGTCATCTAGGCAGACGATTCACACTCGCGCGCAGTCTCATTGTCTCTAGGAACATCAACTACGCGAGCGCAGACATTGTCATCTAGCATACGATGCACGCGCGCGCCAGTCATTGTCATCTAGCAGACTATCACACGCACGCGCAGGTACAATTGTCCATCATAGCAGACGATCACCGCGCGCAGTTCAATTGTCATCTAGCAGACGTATCAACACGCGAATCGCCGCAGACAATTTGTCATCTAGCAGACTCACTACCGCGCGCGCAGGTCATTTCATCTAGCAGACGATTCACTACGCGCGCAGTCATTGTCATCTAGCAGACGATCAACGCGCGCGCAGACATTGTCAATTCTACAGACGATCACACGCGCAGTCATTGTCAATCTAGCAGACGACCCACACGCGCGCAGTCATTGTCATCAGTAGCAGATTCGATCACACCACGGCGCGCATCTGTCATTGTCATCTAGGACACGATCACACGCGCCGCAGTCATTGTCATCTAGCAGACCGATCACATCGCACGCGCAGACATTGTCATCTAACAGTATCATCACACGACGCGCAGACATTGTCCAATCTAGGCAGACGATCACACGCCACGCGCAAGACATTGTCCATCTAGCAGATGCATCACAATTTCCGCGCAACGATTGTTCATCTCAGTCAGATCGAGCACACGCGCGCAGTCATGTCATCTAGCAGACGATCACAAGCGGCGCAGACATTGTCATCAGCCACGACGATCACACGCGCAGTCATTGTCATCTAGCAGACATCACACGCACAGCGCATCATTGCATCTAGGTGCAGACCATCAAACAGCGCGGCAGTCATTGTCATCTAACACGCAGACGTATCACCGCGCGCAAGACATGTCAATCTAGCAAGACGATCACGCGCGCAGTCATTTGTCATCTAGCAGACGATCACACGCCTGCGCCGACATTGTCCATCTAGAGACGATTAACGCGCCGAAGACATTGTCAATCCTAGCAGACGATCACAACGCGCGCAGTCATATGCACTAGCAGACCGATCACACGGACCGCAGTCATCTGTCATCTAGTGCAGACGATCACACCACGCGCAGACATTGTCAGCTAACAAGCGATCAACACGCGCAGGTCATCTTCATCTAGCAAACGATCACACACGGCGCGGCACGACATTGTCAGCTAAGCAGACGATCACACGCGCGCGGCAGTCATTGTCATCATGCAACACAGATCACACGCGGCAGGTCCATGTGTCATCTAGCAAGTACGATATTCACGCGCGCAGTTCCATTGTCATATTAGCAGACGAAATCACAACCGCGCAGTACATTTGTCATCTAGGAGACGATGCACATTATCATGAGTACGCGCAAGTCATTGCGTCATCTAGCAGACGATCACTACCGCAGCGCAGTCATTGTCATCTAGCAACGATCACACCTGCAGTCATGTCCACTAGCAGACGATCACACGGCGCGCAGACATGCATCTAGCAGACGATCAACGCACGCAGACATTGTCATCTAGC